GGTAGGAAGACTTTCTGCAGCCAGGCGTGGCGGCTCCCTCCTGTGATCCCAGCACTGAGGAGGCTGAGGTGGGCGGATCAACTAAATCGGGAGTTCAAGATCAGCCTGGCCAACATAGTGAAACCTCATTTCTACAAAAAATACAAAAAAAAAAAAAAAAAATAGCTGGGTGTGGTGGCATGCACCTATAGTCCCAGCTACTACGGAGTCTGAGGCATGAGAGTCGCTTGAACCTGGGAGGCAGAGGTTGCAGTGAGCCAAGATTGCACCACTGCACTCCAGCCTTGGTGACAGAGTGAGACCCGTCTCAAAAAAAAAAAAAAAAAAGACTTTCTGCGCAGGCACAGTTGGGGGCTTAGGTTTCCAGTCAACAGCAGCAACCAATAAACCCAAACTTTTAAAACAAATGGGTGTCAGCAATAAACCTGCTGCACAGCAGCTAATAGGACATTCGGCTTTTGAAAGACACCCTTTCTGTGTAGCCCATGTCCTAACAAAGGAAAAGATGAAATGCTGCAAAGGAGGACAGAGAGAAGGCCTCTTTTGTTCTTTACTGTTACAACGGCTGTGATAGCAAATACTTACATCATGCTGTCTGGGTGTCAGATACTATTCTAAGAGGTTTTTTGTTTTTGAGAAGGGGATCACTCTCGCCCATGCTAGAGTACAGTAGCACAATAATAGCTCACCGCAGCCTAGAACTCCTGGGTGTAAGTGATCGTTTTGCCTTAGCCTCCCTAGTAGCTGGGATTACAGGTGCCTGGCATTATACCCAGCTAACTTTTTTCAAATTTAAAAAATTATTTTAGAGATGGAGTTTTCCAGGCGGTCTTGAACTCCTAGCCTTAAGTGATTCTTTCACCTCAGCCTCTCCAGTAGCTGTGATCCGGTGTGAACCACTGCACTCAACATGTTCTAAGAGTCTTATATGTATTAATTCACCAAATCATTAGAGCATTTTTATGAGAACGTTACTATTATTAGCTGCTTCTTACAGGGGAGGAACCAGGCACAGGGAAGTGAAGTCGCTTGCCTAAGGTCACACAGTTAGTAGGGGGGACAGCCGGGCTATAAACCCTGATGGCCTAGCTTCAAAATCTGTTCTGTTATCCTATGTGCTAACTTCCCTCTTACTAAGAATTAAAAATGTAAGAAATACCATTCTAGATAACATGCCCAGTCTACAATCCATCTAGTCATCCATCTACCCTCCCACTAGGTGGCAAGCACTGAGCTCGCCTGCAGATACTATGGTGATCAAAGACATGTGCAATCTCTAGCCTTGGTGACATGTTCTTTAAGTCAAGAGTTTCTGTGGTAGCCTCTTGATCCCCATTGCCTCCACTCTCCAGGTTGTGAAAAGGTCCTGGCTGCCCTGGAAGGCCAGGCCTGTGGTGATGTTCTGGGATTTATTTTTGGGGGTTCAGTCCAGATCCCACTCCTCTGACCCCTCTAGAGATTTCATATGCTGTATGTAATGCAGTTGGGACACATTCTCCTTAAAATGACTAGATGGTGTCTGCTTTCTGCATCTGAACTGTGACTGACACATTTTCCTAAAGGGGTAATGGATAAAGATGAAAATAAGAGGTACGTCTAGTGCTAGCAGGGAAAACAGGAGTGGCTCTGAGACTCAGTGCCTGTGCATCACAGCAGGAGGGAGGGCCGCTGGGGGCCGAGCCCTAGCACAGAGCCTAAATGTGCAGCATAGGTCAGACCTGGGACAGGAACCCAGGGCCAGGCCAGCTAGTGCCTCTCAGGTGTCTGGGGAGCCCAGGACATCTCAACCAGATTCTGTCTGAAGACAGGATGGAGCTGGGTAGACAGCACAGATTTCTCCTGGAGCCACAGGCTGAGGACCAAATTGGGAGAAGAGATGAATAGAACATGGTTCAGCCAAGGCCTATTTTTCAAAACCGGACACACAGCTGAACTCCAACTCTAGTCTGGACACTTGTACTTTCCTATGTATGCATATTTTGTGTCCCAGTAAATCCCCTGATCTGTAATAAAGATATATGTATTGTACTTAAGATGCACCTAACAAATATTTCTTAAGCATCCAGTGCGTGACAGATACCACTCTAGGGACTGGGGATATGGCAGTGAACAAAGCCTATAAAAATCCCTGTTCTCACAGGTTTACGTCTGTAATTTAAAATATTATAAATTTGAAAAACCCAAAGAGGTAAAAGTTACCCATAATCCCATCAAAAAGTGTCACATATATAGAATATGTAAAAATAAAGTAAGAGGTCAGTGTTTCTCCTTATCCATCAAATCCCGCCCACCCACCATAAGGTAACCATTATACATTTTAAAGACATTAAATATACATACCCATGAAATATTTATTTTATTTTATTTTTTTTGAGATGGAGTTTTGCTCTTGTTGCCCAGCTGGAGTACAATGGCATGATCTTGGCTCCACCTCCTGGGCTCAAGTGATTCTCCTGCCTCAGCCTCCCAAGTAGCTGGGATTACAGGCATATACCAGCACACCCGGCTAACTTTGTACTTTTAGTAGAGATGGGGTTCCTCCATGTTGGTCAGGCTGGTTTCAAACTCCTGACCTCAGGTGATCTGCCTGTCTTGGCCTCCCAAAGTGTTGGGATTGTGAGCCACTGCACCCAGCCTATTTTATTCTATTTTTACAAAAATAGAATAATGCCTTACAGAATGACCTACATGTCCCCCCACCCCCACCCAATTGATCATGGACCTCTGTTTCAGTTTGAGCTCCCCAAGAAGCGGACCCTGGGCCAAGGATTCAAGCATGGACCTTGCCCAGCATATTTGGGTCTATTCCATTCATTGTAATGGTTGCACAGCATCTCACCATGTGTCTGAATCATTATTTATTTAATCCCCCAAAACATACATACATTACCATACCCTCTCCCCACTTCCCACTCACTGACACTTAGGATTATGGGGAGTGTGCTGGCGTTACTGACTCACTGTAACGAGGAACATATGCAACAAAGGGAAACTCCATTTCCCAAAGGCCAAGGCCGCAGGACAGGGTTCTGAGGCCTGGAGAAGTGACAGTGTTGGCAACAGGGAGATGAGGTCTGAGAAAGTTATCAACATCCTTACCACGTGCAAGATTGATAGCTAATACATGTTTATGTGAAGTTTCCCAAATCAGTCACACAGAGGACCAGAAAATGGAAAAGGCCTCATGAATTTAGTGGTTTATTTTCTCTTTGCCAACTATAGCAGCCACTTGCTTCTTGACATTTTTGGTCTCAATTTCATTACATATCACTAGTTATAGCACATCTTTCGGAGTATTTAAGAGTGCTGATTTTTTTAAATAACAAAACTACATACGATTATCTGAGTGATTTTGTATTTTGTGGCAGTGGTATTCTCAGATCTTTGAGTAAAGGATGGGAATTTTTATGTTTCTAAGCAGGGTGAGTTTCTAAGTTCTCCAGCATCTTGGTAGGTGATTTCAGATGACCATCAGCACCATCAATCAACACTTTAGAATCTCCATGAGAACCATGGTATAGTCGAGGATGAGGTTTTGGGCTGGCAGCAAAGATCTGGCATCTGCCCTGGCCACCTCAGTGTCTGTGGCATCTCACTTGGCCTTCCTGGATCTTGGAATAATAATGCCTCCCTGTCATAACTTGTGGTAATCAAAGGAAAAACCCAATGCAGAAGAGCTCTTCAGGTATCAGCTACCAAACAAATATGAGATACTGGAGGAAGAATCTGGATTGTTGTGGGCTGCAGTGGGTAACATTAGCTCTTGTCTACAAATCTCCCTTAAAGAATCAGCACCTTGAAGCTGAACTCTTCACTATGTCATGATCACCAATAACAGCACATTCAGCTATCCAAAAAAACTTAACAAGTACAGTTGACTTATTAAAGGTTTTATGCAGAGATTGACAAGATTCCCCACAGCTAAACTTAGTCATCTCTTCCATCAGAAACATTTGTTCTTCCCTGAAAGCCCATCTTTGGCAACCTGGAACCTTAGTTCTGTCTCCTACCTTGTCCAACAGACACTCCCCAAACTCAATGGCTCCAGCCTTTCTTTATTCCTTAAGCTTCCCTTTCTATGTACTTTCCCCCTCTGAGTTTTTACACAGAAATTACCCCTTAAATCTTGGATCCTTATACATCTTCCTACTCAATGATCAAAAAACATTCTTCTTAGATCTTCCTGCCTTCCTTTGAAAGCAGTGGAGGAATTTTAAATAACACGTTTTCCTCACAAGCTTTTCTCCTTGTTATAACACTATTAGGTACTTTTCATTATTCTATTTGTTCAACATGTCTATGGACTGCTTAGATCCAGAAGCTTGGGAATCCTCTAAGGCCAGCCCCTCATGTGGTCTGTGTAGTCACTGGATCCTAGAGAAGAGAAGGGACTTGCAGAAGGCTATAGAGTCAGTCTGCCAACAGGCTGGGCATGGTGGCTCACGCCTATAATCCTAGCACTTTGGGAGGCTGAGGCGGGAGGATTGCCTGAGCTCAGGAGTTTGAGACCAGCCTTGGCAACACAGTGAAACCTCATCTCTACTAAAATACAAAAGAAATTAGCTGGATATTGTGGCAGGCGCCTGTAGTCCCAGCTACTTGGGAGGCTGAAGCAGGAGAACTGCTTGAACTGGGGAGGCAGAGGTCGCAGTGAGCTGAGATCGCGCCACTGCACTCTACTCCAGGCTGGGCAACAGAGCAAGATTCTATCTCAGAAAGAAAAAAGAATCAATCAGTCTATGAGAGACCCACAGTTAGAAAGTCATGACTGACTCCCAACTGAGTGCTCATCCCACCATATCCAGCCTGGGGCAAAAAAGAATTGAGAGGCTTTCAGATTCCATGGAACCCAACACTCTGAACTAAAAGAGAACTTGGAGTTCATCTAGAACAAACCTTTCATTTTACAGAGGTTAAAAGGGAACCTTATCTTGTAGTTATAATCTCTGAGTTCTAGAAATACAACCGATTAGAGGTTACTTTAAAATGTATATACTCGCCTGGTGGGTATGGTTTCCAGGAACATACACAGACTTGAACTGTTTCATGAGACTCCGAGCTCCGGCAATATCCCGAAGTGAAGTAAAGAGTTCATCCGTGGCAATTTTGGATTTGTGAAACGTCAGGTTAATTGAAGAGTCACAGTCTGAAAGAATCCAGAGATATTTTCTTGAGTGAGTAAACCTTTAAGTTTTCATCATGACAGCTTGAGCTCGATGTAATGTAGTTAGGTTTTTTTGTTTTGTTTTGTTTTTGTTTTTTAACCCTGTTTTCCCCTGGCTGTTCACCAACAGGGCTGTCGTAATCATCCATGAGCAATGAAGCATATTGAGTATAAATGCCTTTAACGGAAGTGGAACTCAAAATTGTCTGGGATTGCAGCCACTGGCTTACATCCCTAGACTGCAGACGTTTCACAGAAAGAAAGCTCCCAGGGCCCATAATCCTCGGAATACAGCTTTGGGAAAATACGAGGAGACACAAAGGAAAATATGAGACTGTCACAATCAAACTCAGTTGCCTGAATCCCATCAACAGTTTGCATAAAGCTGGACAGCAAGAATGAGAAAGAGCACAGTGTTGCTCCGGTGACAGAACTCGCTGCAGTGGGCATCTGTCTAATGTGCTAACGAAGCACGTGGCACATTTCAGAAGGTGGCCATTCAAAGCTGATCAAACACAGGAGGACGTAACAAGAAGACTGTTTTCTGAAATCATCTGCTTCTTTTTCAAACTTAGAAGAACTTATTCTCTGTTTTATAAGAAGCTCATTCAGAAGGGACATGATCATGGATAAGTTAAAAAATATAGGGAAAGATTAAAAATGTGTCTTCTTACATCTCCCAGATATCCTAAATACATTAGCTACATTAACTCATTAATTGTCACATCATCCGTATAAGGCAGGAACTACTGTCTTCTCCATTTTAAGGATAAGGGGATTGAGGTGCAGGTTAAGGAACACCCTGAAAGCAGGTGTGTTAAGGATTGCCAAGGCGCTGCCCATACGTGCTCCCTCACCCGGGGCGTCCCAGCAGGAGTGGTGAAGTTTCTGTGTGTTCTGACTGCTTCCTACTGCAGTACCTGCATGTCAGTCTGTCTGTCTCTGCCTCTGTCTCTTCTTGTCTAAGGGCTTCAACTGGCTGTAGGAGCACATTTGGCCTGTGTGTGGGGCAGACTGGGAGTGATGGAGAATCAACACTCATAGAAATAATCTCATATTCTCTTCCTGTGGAGGGGAAATTCTGAGTTGTGGTCTGCACAGTCTTTCTGAGGGGCCCAAGAGGGTTGGAACCCCTGCTGCCCATGACATCAACTCATCCATTAATACCCCCATTAGTGGCTTTTCTTCCTCCCCTGTCTCACTTCTCTACCTCCTGACTGCTTTGGGATATCTTTCCAAATGCAGTATTTGCACCCAAATCCTTGTCTGAAGACACTAGTAATTTGAACAGAGGTCTGGCTTTATTGTTTTAGTAACAGCTTTATTGAGATATAATTCATATTCTATACAGTTACCCACTTAAAGTATACAATTCAAAGCTCTAGTATATTAACAACCATTACCAGCACAATTTTAGAACACTGTGTCACCCCAACAAGAACCCCCATACCTGTTAGCAGTCACTCCCAATTTTTCCCCATCCCTAGCCCCTGGCAATCCCTAACATGCATTGTCTTTATGGATTTACCTATTCTGGATGGTTCATACAAATGGAACAATAGAATATGTAATCTTTTGTGACTGGCTTTTTTCACTTGCCATAATGTTTTCAGGTTCATCCAAATTGTAGCATTAGTACTTTATTTCTTATTGCCTACTGATATTTCACTGTATATAGAATATTCATGTATACGGAATATGGAAATAGCATATTTCATATATCCACTCATCACTTAATGGACATTTGGGTTGTTTCTGCCTTTTGGTTATCATGAATAATGCTGCTAGTTTTACACGTACATGTTTTTGTGTGGACACACATGTTCATTTCTCTTGAGTATATACCTAGGAGTACAACAGCGGGTCATATGGTAACTTTGTGTTTAACCTTTTGAGAAAGTGCTAGGCTGTTTTCCAAAATTATTGCACTATTTTACTTTCCCACCAGCAGTGTAAGAGGGTTTCAATTTCTGTACATTCTAACGAATACTTATTATTAGCTATCTTCTTAATTATAGCTATCCTAGTAGATGTAAAGTGAGGACATACATGTTGATTTTGATAATAAGAGAAATAGTTTTTAAGGAATACAGGTAGATTCAAATAAGCTTAAACTAAAATGGAAAGCATCCAAAAGAATCCAGCTGCATCAGACATAGTGAGGTGGCATGTGAAAAGCTGAGCCTGTACTCTCAGTTACTGTGTGACAGTGTATGTAATAACTCTTAAAAGATGGGCAAAGCCTCTGATTAGTCTTCATCTCCTAGTTTCTAGAAATGTCTAACCCATTGCCATTAAGAAAAAATCAGGGCAGGGATGGTGGCTCATGCCTGTAATCCCAATACTTTGGGAGGCTGAGGCGGGTGGATCACTTGAGGTCAGGAGCTCGAGACCAGCCTGGCCAACAAGGTGAAATCCTGTCTCTACAAAAAATACAAAAATTAGCTGGGCATGCTCGCAGACACCTATAATCCCAGCTACTTGGGAGGCTGAGGCATGAGAATTGCTTGAACCTGGGATGTGGAGGGTGCAGTGAGCTGATATCATGCCACAGCACTCCAGCCTGGGTGACACAGTGAGACTGCATATCAAAAATAAATAAATATATAGACAGATAGATAGATAGATAAATGTGTGGTTAAGCCCAATGAGTGGATGCCTCCTCACCTCAGTGGACCCCACACACGTGGAATTCATGGACTGCAGGGGGTTGCGGAAAAAGGGAGAATGAAGGAATTCAGGAAGTTCATGGGAACTTTCTGGAATTATGTGCCAAGCTTTGAGGAAAGGAAAAAATATGTAGTTTTGTGGGGAGCATGTCCATGATTCTCTGCCGATTCTAAAAGAGTTCACAACCAAGGCAAGTTCAGAGCCACAGGTACAGAGCATCGATTGATACCACACCGTGCTTCCTGTCGGCATCATGCTCCAGTTGAAACACACTAGCTTGTGCTTTAGGCAATCACCAGCCAGAAGAAACCCTGGGAGGTTATGGCTTCTCACTCAACATGTGGCTTCTTTCCTTCAAGAATCAATTATATCTAGGAGTTGTACACTATGTACTACTTTTTCAAATTTAAAAAGGCACTAAAACAAGGAGAAAAAAACACTACTAGATATAATATCATGCAAAGTGTTTCAATTTCTCTAAAAGTCAATCCAGCTAATAGACTATTTTTTTTTTATTTAAAGTAATTCATTTTCTTTAGGACAAAAAGATTCATCCAATTTTCCATATGGTCTATTGCAATTTTTTGGAACGTGAGAAGTATGATATTCATTCATTAGGCTGAGTGGAACAGAATCATCTATTAGCTTATAGAGTCTTTACTTAAAATTCTAGATTATGCATGAAAATTGTGGATTATACATTGACATTAATTAATCATAGGCTGTGTAATTAAAGAGATTTATGTCAAGTGTGGAGCAGGTTGTCTGATGCAAGTGTTTACAGGTTACTGCTGGTATACTGAACTCAAACGAACCCAACAGAAAAATAAGACTGCTAAAGAAACTGATGGAAGGAAAATAGAAAATCCTAAATTCACAAATAGAGTCAACCTTGCCTGAAAAATAGTCAATTACATCTATTTTTCAAGCCAATCACATGGGCAACTTCGGTCCAAACCATTAACCCTCTCCAATTTGTCTATCATCCTCAAGGTTCTGTGATTATATGTTTTAGGGATACTGGGCCAAAGGGGACTCATTTTTATCAATCTTTAAGTATTTTTCATAATCACATCAATCTTCACTGAAAGAGGAACTTACATTTATTTTCCCGAACCCTATAATGAAAGTTACACATACACACACACACACACACACACACACACACCCTTTAGAAATATGGATAGGTCAGGATAAATGACTTATGCGAGATCACATCACTATTTCCAGCAGAGCCAAGGTTCAAAATATCCCCCTGATGGCAGACCTGAACTCCTCTATGTATGCTGCCTCCTACAATTCCAAATCTCATCTGTGAATGCAGCTCATTCCAAATATATGCTGAACTGATAGATAAGATGGAATATGGATACAAAAACTGTTAAAGGGGATGAATTATTTTCTGTGATAATAGTAGCATATAAGCACCAATTTCTCACAGTATACTAGAAACTATTCTAAGAAGTTTATACGTATTAGTTCATTTAATCTCCACAAATACCTAATGTGTTAGGTACTATTCTCATTCTCCTCTTGTGGATGGAGAAACTGAACCACAGAGAAGTTAAAACACAAACTCATTCAATCCGTACATGGTCAAGCTAAGATTCAAACCCTTGCCGTCTAACTTCAAAGTTGATCCTATTAAATACTACATTCTGCTGTCTTTCATATCTGCTGAGGCCACATATACATACATACATATATGTGGCCTCAGCAGATATGAAATATATATATATATGATCAACAAAACATTTCATTCACGTTTAAACCAAAGAGATACAAAAATGGAGGGAGTTGCAAATACCTTTATTTGTGGGAAGACCTGGGCCTGTCTCTGGGTTGGATGCTAACAGTGAGGTTTGTAGCTAGACCTTAGATCCTTCTCTTTTGGCCACATGAGGTGTGAGGATCCCGGGCCTGGTTGCATAGACTCCTTTGAATCTCTGCTCTGTAAGGTGCTGTATTCAGTTACTTCTGATAAGCCCCTGACAGGCTGTTCCATTAAGCCAGCTTATGAGATATCGGCCCCTTGTAAGGAAACTTTCAGTGTACAATTCCAGTCAATTCTCATTTAATCCACTTAGTTAAACAGATACTAAACCAGAAGCTTTAGCCAAGCACATTCTGTGTACTTCAGTTGCCTACTTCTTGAGAGGGGAGGCCCTCAATCCCCTAGGGTGCCCCCATGTTCTTCCATAACCAGGGGCTGACTCATGTCCCTGTAATCTGGAGGACCTCCTGGGCAGGAGTCTAGTTATCCCTAAGATCAACAAAATAGGGCTCCTATTCAGCACCTACACTTCCTCCAT